TGATGGGACACTGGGGAGGGAGGACACTCACCAGCACGTGAGACGTGGGGCCTGGGACCTTCACTTCTTCCTGCCCTGTCCTCAGCTCCGAGTCCGGCCTGAGGAAAGACTCCTCCCGCCCTTTATTAGAGCGTCTTGCCTGGTTCTGAGTATCCCCAGACACTTCAGCTGGGGAGGCCCCGTTGGGTCCTCTGCGCTTATGCTCCGCCCGGTGTGCCCTAGGGAAGGCCACTGTCTTCCTGGCACTTGGGAAGTGTTCCGGTGTCAGGTTCTGCCCCCTCCCTCCGCTGCTCTCAGCAGAGAGCATCTGACTTGTCCTCCTGGAGCTGACGGCCCAGCTGCCTCTGAGGGAGTCAAGTCCTTTTACAGGGACAGGAGAAGGAGGTTGGCGTTCTCCTTGGGACCCGACTGCGGGCGAGGGAGAAGGGAATCTCTCAGTGTCCTCACAGCGACAAAGGAGGGGGTTAGGGGCAGGCGCAAACACGATGCCGGGACGATGCCATCCAGGCATTTCGGGCCCAGTGCTCTGATGAGTCAGAGAGTGAACCTGAGTTTAACTGATGTTGGGAGGGTCTCGGTTTAAAACAAAAGAGAACAGCTGGTCTCTTAAACTCTGCGGATGGCATGAGGTTTCTTTGGTGTGCAGTTGCTTAAATTTTACCAAAATAGGTCTGATTTGGCCACATGTCATACTGACCGACACAGCTTTGATAAGCTGTGAGCTCCTGGATCCCAACCCAGACCTGCTGAGTCCTGACCTGTGAGGAGTGGGGCCCGGTGTGTGTGTTTTAAATCTCCCCTAGGGATTCCAACACCCTCAAGGGTTGAAGCATCACTTGTTTAGGGTCTGAAGCTTCAGTGACCTTTGTGTATGAGGAAGGTGACTATTTACAGTTAAAGAAAGGGACGCCCTGGAGAGTAAAAGGGGTGCAAAATTATTAAAATCGTACAGGTTTTGGAAGAATTTTTACTGACAACCAGTTATCTTTATTATATTGGTGACTATAAAAAGTTCTTTTTAAAATTAAAATTCTAAGAATAATACTGTGTTAAAAATATACATCCAGAGCAGATGTTAAACTGCGCAGATTGCTGGGTCAGCAGATACAAACCAGGACTGTGCTGGGCAGACTGAGACCTGTGGCTGCCCTACTTGTAAAAAGTGAGAATCTAGAATTTAAATGCCCTCCCTAATACCGCCCAGGGATACGGAAGGAGATGGTCACAGGATTTGCCTAATGCCATATTTAAATTGCAGTGTTCATTAGATAAAACTTTTTGGAGGCCTTGATTAATCAAAATAATTTAAACATAGCATGATTTGCTGCCTCCCTTTAGCAAGACCTCTTTGGGGCTTCTGTAGTTCAGTGCCCCACCCAGAAATGAGAGCTCTTGGCTCACAGCTCTGCACATCTGGTGAGAACAACCTTGTCTGTAGTAACATGATCTTGTTGAGGGGTAGACAGGGGTTTGGAGACTGAGGAAGGTAGAATAGGGGGTGTGGCCCCGAGGTTTGCTCGACAGTAAAATGCTCCCTGTAATTTGTGAGTTCAGATGGAAACCATCATGGAAAAGATTAAAAGCAACAGGAATTGGCCCGGCCTGGTGTGGCTCAGCGGTTGAGCATTGACCTAGGATCCAGGCGATTGGGGTTCGATTCCCGGTCAGGGCACATGCCTGGGTTGCGGGCTCGATCAGTGATTCTCTCATCATTGATGTTTCTATCTCTGTCTCTCCCTTTCCTTTCCTCTCTCTGAAATCAATAAAGATATATTAAAAAAAAAAAAAAAGCAACAGGAATTATTTCTTGCCTTTGAGCCAGAAAAATAGCCGGAAACAGTGGTACAGAACTGACCTTCGTTATTCTTTAAGTTGACTTTGGTGCCAACCATGCCTGTGGCATCTTAATAAGCAGGAAATCACAGTCCCTGTCCTTGCCCCAAGGGATGAATTCATCTATTCCAAGTAGTGAAATCCATGCACCCTTAATTTATCAACTGCAAGGCTTCAGTATAATGCAGGATGCTGCTCCCCAGCAGTGGGGTCCTCTCGGCTTTCCCACACTGTGCTGCCCAGGGGGCACATCCTGCCAGTGCCCACAGCCCACCAGTCCCGGACGCGGTGCTGACAACTGGCCAGCGCAGTTAACATCTTCCTCATCTTCGTTTGCAGTTCCTACTCGATCTTAAACACGTCATCTTCCAGCGTGCTCTCATTTGGTGACGGCATTTTGGACAGGCGGCCATATGAGGACCAGGGCCTGGGGGAGGTGGCCCCCCTGACCATCATCTGCCAGCCCACACAGGTGAGGCTCTCCACCAGGACTTCCTCAGCTGCACTCGAGACCCACTGAGCATCTGTTTACTAAGTGTGGGCCCCCTGATGTCTATAAACCTGGAGGCTAAGGAGAACGAGAGGGGTGCTCCTGAGCAGGACTGCCAGCATGTGGGGCTGGGCTGGAAGGAAGGCTCTTCCACAGAGAGGACGCATTATCTGAGCAGCAGTGATGGGGGGACCTGCTCCACAGGAAATAGGGTGGGGGGACGGGTGGGAAAGGTGAAGACTAGTAGGAGGTACAGATTCCAGTTATAAATAAGGTATGGAAATGTAACATAGTAACTCATATCATAGCTTTGTATGGTGACCGATGTTACTAGGTACATCATGGTGATCACACCATGAGGTACATAAATGTCGAATCACTATGTTGTACATGTGAAACCAATATAATATTGCATGTCGATTATACTTGAATGAGAAACATTACAGGAAAGATTAGGGCTCTTAGCACAGAACCCAGAGCATAGCGAGTGCTGGTGTGTGTTATGGTGCTCAATATCTGCCAGAAAATGTGCCCAGTGAAGAGTAGTTTGAACAATACAGAGGCGAGTTGAATGTTCAAGCATGTTGAGGACTAACGGACTAGATGGCGTTGGCCAGAGCCCAGGGCTTGAATTAGAAACAGTAAGGAAGAGATGGGGAGACCGTGCCACGGACATCCATTAATTTTCTCAGAGCAGCCAGGAACTAGAGTGAATGCAGCCGTCATGAAGCTGGCAGACAGGGAAACTGAGGATGGCTGACTCAGAGAGAAGGCAGATGGAAACATCCGCCATGTCCCCCTGGTGGCATAGACCCTTCATTTGGACGTGCCGCGGACTAGACCTGCCCATTTCATCGCCCAGAAGAAGCAGTTGTCCTCCCAGAACCATTTCTGGGAGCACCAGCGTGTCTGCAGTAGGACGGCAGAGCCTGATGATCAGAGTAGGAAGGCAGGACCTCATTGTGCAGGAAACCAGGACACCTTAGAGAGAAGGCAGACGTGTTTGTGGTGATAAAGGTTCTCGCTCCCTGAAGTGGCTGATGAAGCTTCCCTCTAGGGGAGGACACTGTTCCTCTGATGGCTTTCTCTACATGCTGACTAGTTTTCCCTCTGAGCTGCAGCTCGGCTGGTGCCCATGTGTTAGTGTTGACCAAACACCACTCCTATTAACAGCAGCAACAGAGACACTACCATCTTCCTCACCCTTCTCACTTTTCACAGCACCTGCAAGTCATCTCACTTGAGCCTCAAACTAACTTCAGGTCTGTAGCATGAGTCC